ATCCACAAACAAGGTGTACCTTTAAGACCAATTGTTAGCATGATTAACTCTGTCACTTACAATGTTTCCAAATATCTGGCGTCTGTACTCATCCCTTTAGTTGGCAGCTCAGAACACCACATACAGAACACCATGGACTTTGTGGACAAGGTGAGGGATGTCATCATGGAGACTGATGAAACAATGGTCTCTTTTGATGTCACATCACTCTACGTGCATTCCTGTTGATGATGCAGTAGAGGTGGTCAGTTTAAGGTTAAAATCAGACACCACTCTGAGCAGCAGGACCACGCTTTCCACAGAACAACTGTGTCAACTCTTGAAACTGTGCCTGCAGTCAACCTACTTCACATATGGGGAGCAATATTATAGGCAGAAACATGGGTGTGCTATGGGGTCTCCAGTTTCTCCTATTGTTGCCAACCTGTACATGGAGGAGGTAGAAAAGAGAGCCTTGACGTCCTTTTCAGGGACACCACCAAGTCATTGGTTCAGGTATGTTGATGACACCTGGGTTAAAATCAAATCTCAGGAAGTCCAACATTTTACTGACCACATCAACTCTGTGGATAAATACATCAAGTTCACACGAGAAGATGTAAAAAATGGCAGGTTGGCTTTCTTGGACTGTGAGGTCTCAGTCTCTGATAGAGGACATTTGCAAACTGAGGTGTACCGCAAACCCACCCACACAGACCAGTATTTGCCGTTTGACTCCCATCACCCTTTGGAGCACAAGTTAGGAGTCATCAGGACTCTGTACCACAGAGCAGACAGCTTCCCCACTAACTCGGGAGCCAGGCAGAAGGAGAAATCCTACACAAAACAGGCTCTAAACCCCAAAATACATTACGGCAAAGACTGGTTCATCCCAAAGATCCAGTCCCCCGGCACAAACAGAGCAATGTTGTGTATGCTGTTCAGTGTCAGGAGGGCTGTGATCAGTCTTACATCGGGGAAACAAAACAGCCACTGGCCAAAAGGATGGCCCAGCACAGAAGATCAATATCATCAGGCCAGGACTCTGCGGTCTACACTCATCTCCAGGCCAGCGGTCACTCTTTCAAGGATGAAGATGTTCACATCCTGGACAGAGAGGAACGATGGTTTGAGAGAGGAGTAAAGGAGGCCATCTTTGTGAAAAGAAACCGTCCATCGTTAAACAGGGGTGGAGGCCTCCGGGTTCAACTGTCCCCCTCTTACAATGCTGTGATTGCTAGTATCACTCAGCCCTCTGTGAACAGTAAACAGCCGTCAGGCGCTAATGATCCATTGTTAGGCTGATGGTCCTTCTTGAGTATGTGATCAGCTGGTTTTGGTTGTCAGCAGCAAAACTGGTTGATCCATTCTGAGAAGGTGCTATTTAAGAGACTGAGCTGAATACAACTCCTCAGACTCAGGAAGTCTCTTGGATGAGAGACGAAACGTTTCTACATTTTTTTTGTTGACTTGCTTTGTTTTTTTTTGTTGGTTTTTTTTTTTATGTCCAGAGGACCAGATTTAACTTTTTTTTAGATTTTTCTACCTGGATTATTGAGCATGCATCAGGATAATATGCAAACTACACCCAGAAAAGCCCCTGGCCAGGATTTGAACCGGAGGCTTTCTCTTTGAGAGGCAACAGTTCTACCAACTTATCCACTGTGCCACCCTCTTTTCAGACCTGTATTTATAATTCAGAACCATTCTATCAAGGCTTCATCAACTGCATCGGTAGATAGATCAGTAAATCCTGTTTTGTTTTGTTTTTTGTAATTTTTTCTTTGCTTTTGTCCTTTTTTTACTGTCATTGGACAGCCAGCCTGGTGTCTGGTAAAACAGCATGCAACTCAGATCATGCTGTCAGTGAGATGAAAAAGCTCTTAGAGGCTTTTTTTTTTATTGTTAAGAAAAGGTCTTAGCAGGTTGGAAGCTCAGCTGTATTTCCTTTGTGGTGTGCTTCAGAAGAACAGCCTGTTAAGGGCCATCAGAAATGTGAGCTCATACTTTGATTTGCAGACCACAGTGGCTATTGTTTTGGATCTGTTTTTTTGGCGTGTGATCTGTTTGTCCTGGTATGGGGTGATGGTGTGTCATGGCAGGTGGGCCATTTAAATAGACAGATTGGAGATTGAAGTTTGGCTCTATTCTGCTGAAATACTAATCTCATTGTGTTGTGGGTCATCTGAAAAAAAAAAAACTGAAGGAACCTAATGAGCCTCTATTTTGATGTATTGCTTGGTTTCTAATGTCTTGTTCTGTTTTTTCAGTTCTCCTGTTGTGGAGGGGATGAATATAAAGACTGGGGTGTCAATCAGTACCATTTTTGCAATGGTACTGGTCCACTAGCCTGTGGGGTTCCATATACCTGTTGTGTTCGACGCAAGGTGAGTTCTGGTGACACATACTCCGAAGAAAAAACATCAGTGACAGCTTTGTTACTTTTTTTGGCTGTTTTTTTGTTGTTGTTGGGGTCTCTTTAAAGGAATCAAAATAATTAGCTCATTCCATTCTGATATGGTCCTCACACACTGACTATATATATTTTATTGTAAATAAAATGTGTTCAACATAATGGTACTTCATCCAGTTATTTAACAGTCAACAATGCTGTACCACAAGGCTCAGTCTTAGGACCCACCCTCTTTACAACCTACATAGGTAATGTAGGTCAGCACATCCTTACATTTCTATGCTGATGATACAGTTGTTTATTGTCGAGCTAAAACAGTTGCTAAGGCTTTCCAGCTTTTGCAGTCCGACTGAACTAGGCAAAAGGGCTTTTTCCTCCTCCGCTCCTGTTTCCTCGAATATCTTGCAAAAAGATCTGAAGCTCTTGACATTGGCCTCTCTATGTGGCTTTAAGAATCTGTTGGACTCCTGGCAAGGACCAATGCAGACATGTTCCTGTTATTAGTTTTCTACATTTGCCTTATAATCTAGCTGTTTTTGTTACTTTTTTGGCCATCTTTATTTGCATTTGTAAAAAAAAAAAAAACCTCTGTATGCCTTTTTATAACTGTCTGTTGTTGTCACTGTTGTCCACTGTTGTCATCATTCTTTGTTGAAATCAGGTCTCTTGTAAATGAGTCCTCGAGGCTCAATGGGATTAACCTGTTTAAATAAAGGTTGAATGATAAAAGTCGATCTTTACATTTTTACCTGACTCTTTCATTGTTGAAAAGCATGAAAGTCAGTCGTTTGCTACTGAACATTAGTCACAGATTTAGGGCTGTATACTGAACCGAGGTTCTTTTTTGGTACCGACCGAACTGTGTCGGTCGGTGTATGGATTGAAACATGACTCTTCTTTCGGTGTCAAGTTTCTGTGATTGGCTGTAACGTGACACGCCGTTTCAGCAGGCAAGCAGGTAAAACACAGACATATGACAGCCTACGTGTTTGCACCCAGAGCTGTAACGAGCTGCTGTATAGCCGTGTGTCTATGGCGCTGGTTCCGCCCACAGACGGGGTTCACGTGTGCAGCGCGTGTGCTGCCGAACGGCATCAATTTACGATCGGAAAGTTGCTCCGTGTTTGTCCGTAAGGGGGGGACCGCAGCCTCCCCTCCTCCTTTCTCAGCGTTAAAGTCAGCCTGTGAGTGTTAAAGCCTAAACAGCCGATTCAACATTTCCACGGCCAGACTTCTCTTTGCACCGAGGACGGAGCTGTGTCTGGGATTTCAGCTGGTAAGTTTACGTTTGTTAACATTACTGCAGCTTAATACGTGCATCGCGGTGAGTTGAACTTGGATCCATGTAATGCTAATTTTAAGATATTAGTGTGTAGCTTTATTTTATGGCTATCTGTGTAGCTAGCTAAAATCAAATGCTAACTAAAGATTGACAGTAACAGATGGCGCTTAGATTGTAAAAATGTGCTCATCCATCAAGTCAGCAGGTTAAACAGTTCACCTGATGTTCACTGTTTCTCCTCACAGGAGCCTCTGACCCTGATGTGAGGAGGACAGACAAAAGAAAAGAGAGATTGGGGGGCACAGGACAGTCACAAACTTTGTTGTTAAAAGTTTGCTGCCTTTTTCTACAGTGGAGGCTGCATGGTGGAGGTAAGTAAGCTGTAAAGGATGTTGTTGACCAGTTAAACCTTTATCACTCAGCCTAGATAATGTTTTTTAGCAATAATAACACAACCATGTTGTTGAATCTCTGCTTGTCAGGCAGGCCCCCTCCTTCACAGTTTTTAAATCCCACTTAAAAACCTACTACTATTCCTTGGCTTTCAACAATGTATGATTTGTGTTGATCCTGTATGCATCACACTGTGTTAGTCATTATGTTATCATCTGCTATTATTTTGTTTCTATATTTTGATTTTACATTATGGTATGTGTTGCTGTGTGCTTTGCCTGTTTGTTTCTGTTTGTACAGCACTTTGGTTGGTCCTGTCGCTGTTTAAAGTGTTTTATAAATAAAATGGTATGGTATGGTATTGTTGATGTTTTGTGTTCTAATGTCAATTAGGGAGATGATCAGAGCCCTAAACCCCAGAGAACAACAGAGAAGATTCAGGAAGAGACACAGAGGTACAGAAGTCTGCATCAACCCTAACCTCAGTGAATCCAGTGACCTGCTGGTGGAATGTGAGGGACACTATGCCAGTGCTATCAAACTGACAACCAGGTATCTGTGTGTGCAACAATTCAACTCAATTCAGTTTTTCAATTCAGTTTATTTATATAGTGCCAAATCACAACAAAGTTGTCTCAGGGCACTTTACAGGAACATTCACATACTAACCGGATTCCAAAAAAGTTGGGACACTAAACAAATTGTGAATAAAAACTGAATGCAATGATGTGGAGGTGCCAACATCTAATATTTTATTCAGAATAGAACACAAATCACAGATCAAAAGTTTAAACTGAGAGAATGTATCATTTTAAGGGAAAAAATCTGTTGTTTCCAAATTTAATGGCGTCAACAAATCCCCAAAAAGTTGGGACAAGTCCATTTTTACCACTGTGTGGCATCCCCCCTTCTTCTTACAGCACTCAACAGACGTCTGGGGACAGAGGAGACCAGTTTCTCAAGTTTAGAAATGGGAATGCTCTCCCATTCATGTCTAATACAGGCCTCTAACTGTTCAGTCGTCTTGGGCCTTATTTGTCGCACCTTCCTCTTTATGATGCGCCAAATGTTCTCTATAGGTGAAAGATCTGGACTGCAGGCTGGCCATTTCAGTACCCAGATCCTTCTCCTACGTAGCCATGATGTTGTGATTGCTGCAGAATGTGGTCTGGCATTATCGTGTTGAAAAATGCAGGGTCTTCCCTGAAAGAGATGACGTCTAGATGGGAGCATATGTTGTTCTAGAACCTGAACATAGTTCTCTGCATTAATGGTGCCTTTCCAGACATGCAAGCTGCCCATGCCACAAGCGCTCATGCAACCCCATACCATCAGTGATGCAGGCTTCTGAACGGAGCGTTGATAACAACTTGGGCTATCCTTGTCCTTTCTGGTCCGGATGACATGACGTCCCAGTGTTCCATAAAGAACTTCAAATCGTGACTCATCTGACCACAGAACAGTCTTCCATTTTGCCACACTCCATTTTAAATGACCCCTGGCCCAGTGCAAACGCCTGAGCTTGTGGAGCTTGCTTAGAAATGGCTTCCTGTTAGAAATGGCTTCCTCTTTGCACTGAAGAGTTTCAGCTGGCAACGGCGGATGGCACGGTGGATTGTGTTCACTGACAATGCTTTCTGGAAGTATTCCTGAGCCCCTTCTGTTATTTCCTTGACGGTAGCATTCCTGTTTGAGGTGCAGTGACGTTTAAGGGCCCGGAGATCACGAGCATCCAGTAGAGTTTTACAGCCTTGACCCTTACGCACAGCGATTGTTCCAGATTCTCTGAATCTTTTGATGATGTTATGCACTGTTGATAATGATAACTTAAAAGTCTTTGCTTTTTTTATGCTGGGTAACACCATTCTGGTATTGCTGCACTATTTTTCTGCGCAACAATGGTGGAATTGGTGATCCTCTTACCATCTTGGCTTCTGAGAGACACTGACACTCTGAGAAGCTCTTGTTATACCCAATCATGTTGTCAATTGACCTAATTAGTGTTAATTGGTCTTCCAGCTGTTCGTTATATGCTCATTCATTCAACGTTTATTTAGACAGGTAATCCCATTGAGCCTCGAGGACTCATTTACAAGACAGACCTGATTTCAACAAAGAAAGATGACAACAATGGACAACAGCAACAACAATAAACCGTTATAAAAAGTCATACTGCAGGTTTTTTGTTTTGTTTTTTACAAATAGGATGGCTAAAAGAAAAAGGTAACAAAAAAAACAACAAACAGAAAAAAACAGCTAGATTCTAAGGTGAATGTAGAAAACTAAAAACAGGAACAAGTCTGCGTTGGTCCCTGCAAGGAGTCCAACAGATTCTTAAAGCCACTTAGAGAGGTCAAGGTTGAGAGCTTCAAATCTTTTTGTAAGATATTCCAGGAAACGGGAGCGGAGTAGGAGAAGGCCCTTTTGCCTAGTTCAGTCCTCATTGAGGGAACACTGCAGGTAATAATGTCCTGAGAGCGCACGCTGTAGCTGCACTCACACAGAGACATGTAGGAGGAGATGTATGAAGGTATGTATGAAGCTGAATTTCCTTTTTCCAGCCACTTATTGCTACTTGTCCCAACTTTTTTGGGATTTGTTGACACTGTGAAATTTTGAATCAACACATTTTTCCTTTAAAATGTTACATTTACTCAGATTAAACTTTTGATCTGTCATCTATGTTTTATTATGAATAAACTATTGACATTTGCCATCTCCACATCATTGCATTCAGTTTTTATTCACAATTTGTTTAGTGTCCCAACTTTTTTGGAATCTGGTTTGTACATAAAAGCCAATTAGTAAAGTTTTTTTATCTAAGTACAAGCATCATCTACACCCTCAGAGTGAACATGTTCTACAGCTGGAGACACCTTCAGCCAGGAGTGGGCTTGTTTGTGTCCAGAGAAAGCAGACATGTTGATGTTTCTGAAGACAAACTGTTCAGTGAAAAGGTCCTCAGTGTGTAGCAGTGAGCATTATGCCCCTTTTCCACTATCACAGTGCGGATCAGGTCAGTTCGAGTCGGTTCAGATCGGCTCGGGTCTGTTGTGTTTCCATTTACACTTCTGGACCGGCTCTGTAGGCGGGGACTAGAATCCAACTCATCTTACCACCTGGTGGCAGTAGTGCTCCCTTAAGCTACTTACTAGCCACCACTAAACGTATTAGAAGAAGAACACCCTGAAAGTTTTGTCTCATGATGTTGTGGAAGAGATGTCATGTTTTAATGGAGTACTCATGAGCTGTAACTTTAGACCTGATTCATAATCCTACCTTACTGCCTTCCCTGCTTT